TACAACGGAGGATTTCAATGCCGTCTCTTGTGGTAATCAAGCTGTTGGAGAATCCGCAACATTTAACTCAGCTGTGCTACAAGTGCTAATGAATCTGCAGACAACAACACCCAAAAAACAAGGGTTTTTTGCAGCCACAAAGATAGAATTGCCTAATAATGGTACAACTATTTACGCCTTTGCTCAATGCATTGAAACTATCACTCAGAATGGATGCTTCGAATGCTTGAAGACTGGCTATCACAATATGCCAACTTGTCTTCCCAATTCGGATGGCAGGGCTTATGCTGATGGCTGCTTCATCAGATACTCCAACTCTTCCTTCTTTCCTGATAATTACCAGATGATTGAAATCATCACTAATTCTTCTGTAGGCAAACAAGGTATGTTTTGTTCAAAGATTTTAATATAACTCAAATATTGGGACATGACTATTTGATTTTCTTATGTTGATTAAAACTTCAGTTATATGTATCGATTAGAAAGATTTTATTACAAATAACCAATATGGAATATAAAATTTTACAGAGAATTTCTCTATTCATAAGTTATGATCATTGGAATTCTAAATGGGTTCGGGCTTTTTTTTTTTTTACTCCTTCAATCTTCTCCCTTGCATATTTTATTAGGTTCCCTGTAACTTTTTTTTTAATTCATCCAATGTTTTCCTGCACATTTATGGCAGGGTATAAATATTGGAAAAAATTAGTACAATTATTCAAAAATTTTATAGTTAATATCTATTATATATGTGCGTCGCGAAGATATCTAGCTAGTTATAAAATTTATCTAAATTTATCCTTTAAACTGTCTGCTTCATAGAAAATGATATAAATATCAATATTGGATTTTGATATATATGTTATTTTTTTTTAAATACAACGATATCGATATGTGTTATAAAACATGACGAATTTTAGAATGTATTCTTCATATAATCTACTGGTGTGCGTGTGCGTAAAATTTTATTTGAAAATGAGTTCTCTTACTCTAGCCTTGTCTTGTAGGTTCAAGGAAAAAAGGGGCTGTTATCGGTGGAGTTGTTGGAGGGGTTACTCTTATTTTGATCCTCCTTTTATTATCTACCTGTTTTATTAGACGATCAAAAAGCTCTAAGAGAATTCACAGAGGTAAGCATATTTTCATCTCTATGAAAAGATCTATGAATCCCTAATTGATTCTTTAAGTTTATGAAGAGACTTTGACAAATGTTTTCCTTAATAGGGGACGTAATTACAGCAACTATGCTGAAAGGCCTAGTTTCTTACTGTTATAAGGATTTGAAGTTTGCAACTCAGAATTTTAGTGAAGAAACTAAACTAGGAGAAGGAGGATTTGGTGCCGTATACAAGGTAACTTTATTTTCTTTTCACATAGTTAATATAAACCATGTTATGAAATAATGATGTTTTCAAGTGAGATTTATATAATGTAAAGTTAGATTTGCAATGAGGTAGAGGCAAAACTTCTAACAATAAGTTCTGATTGATGCTCTAAATCAACATGAATAGGGCACTCTAGGAGATGGCAAAGTAGTTGCAGTCAAGAAGTTAACTTTACAACATTCCAGAAAGACGGAGGAAGATTTTTTCAGTGAAGTGATGCTTCTAAGCGACGTTCACCATCCGAATCTCGTTCAACTTTTGGGATGGTGTTGTGAAGGCCATGTCAGAATCCTTGTATATGAATACATGAAAAACAACAGTCTGGACAGATTTTTATTTGGTATCTTACGTCAACTGAAAGAACTTGTATAGTTTTTTAAGCTTTAGTTTGTTATGTTTCTTAAAGTTTTGATTTCAACTTAGTAATATCATTGACTCACTAAACAAAATCTTTCATGTCATATTTTAATGAAGGACTTAATTCACACATACACACACGAATTACTTGCAGTAACATTTAGAGAACAATTTTTGTTTCACTCTTCTTTTCTTTGAATGTTTCAATGTCTGTGAACTTGGCAACTAGGTGAAAGGAAAGGTTATCTCGACTGGAAGCAACGATATGATATAATTTTGGGAATAGCAAGAGGTTTGACTTATCTCCACGAGGAATCTCATCTTCGTATTATACATAGAGATATAAAGACTAATAACATTCTCTTAGATGACGATCTACAATCTAGAATTGCTGATTTTGGGTTGGCAAGACTTTTACCTGAAGACAAATCTCATCTTAGTACAAAATTTACAGGAACATTGTAAGTCCAGATACTGAAGTTTCTTTGATTTATCTTAACTTGTGTTATGGTACATGGATTATCTAACATATCAATAGAATCTGAATCTATGCATACGTAAGAACACTCCTATCACACTTGCAAAAAAGTTCTAACCTTTCCAATTTTGTCTGTATATACCATGAATGCTTGAAGAAAGAATTCGTAGCTCTGTCAAACATGATCTGATCTAATACTTCAATTTTCACATCTCTGTATCAAATTTAGTTGGATAATAATTATTTCCTTTTATTTGAGCTAGCAATCAATATAGTTAATTGTATCATATAATTTTTATGCATATTTTAGGGGGTACACAGCACCAGAGTATATAATCCATGGTCAATTATCAGAGAAGGCCGATGTCTATAGCTATGGTATTGTAGTCCTTGAAATTATTAGTGGCCAAAAAAGCAAAGCATTAGAGGATGATGGCGACAATGAAAACGAGTTCCTCCCTCTAAATGTGAGAAATTCCTGTGCTTATTCAAAATACGTTAATTTGATAAATTCACATATATTGGACTTTCTTAAGAACTCAACTTAACTCTTTTTATAAAAATCTCAATTTTGTCTTTCAATCAGAGAATCTAATAATTAATACACATTTATAAAAATTAACATAAGTTTTGCTTTGTCTTTTCTACCCCTCTTATTCCATTTCACTTTAATCCCAGGCTTGGAAACTATATGAGAGAGGCATGCACTTGGATTTGGTGGACAAAACCTTAGACCCAAATGACTATGATGCAGAAGAAGTGAAGAAAATCATAGAGATTGCTTTGCTTTGCACCCAAGGATTTGCTGACTTAAGGCCAACAATGTCTGAAATAATTGGTTTGCTCCAAAGCAAGGGCTTGCTAGAGCATATGATTCCCACTATGCCTGTCTTAATTGTAACTAATTAGGGGCTAATATTAATCTTTACCTCTTCATATATATACTAAACCAGCAAGATGATGTATTTTACAGGAATGGGCACTTATGAGTGACTTCGAGTTTGGAACCCAAAAATGATTATCCTTCATTTCATTCTTCAATCTTTGAGTGTGATTACACATGAAGGCTGGAAAATGATATTTGAATTGATTCTTACGAGTTGCAATTTTGAGGAAATACGCTAATATCGTTTAAAATTTAAGTAAATTATTATTTTTATTTATTTTATATTCAAAGTAACATTAAGAATACAATATCCAGTTTTGTTTTCTAATTATTTATAGTCAAGTTAGTTTTTACAAAGCATGAATTTTTAAATGAAATTAATTATTTTTCCCTTTCGAACATATTGAGAATAAAACAACACAATTACATAAGAACGAATTTAAAAACAACACAATTACATGTATGTCGTTACGAGGGTTAAAAAAAAAAAACTTCATAGAAAAAGTTGTTGCGAACACTTTATACAACGAAAAGGAAACCAAAATACATACATGCCCACACTTTTGAACCACACGTTACGTAGATAGTCTGACATATTCAAATGTAGATAGTTAAGGGATTTGTATTCATCCTAGATGTAACACCACAATCTGCTATGTCTTATATATATTTATTATTATTTTCTCAAATATTGATTGAACACATTAACATGTGCCATTAATAGTAGTTTTCAATGTAAATTATTAAAATAAAGGTATTTAAAAAACTTATTTTTTTTACAAGTACTAATTTTCTTAGTCTGTGTCAATTTATTATTGTTAAACTCTAGAATCCATGTCATTTGGGTACATTATTTTTCTTATATTTTAATATATTTTGACTCAATTGTGTATATTTTGATTGTCCAAATTAAAAAAAAAATGTGCACTTTGGGTTTGCACACTTGGTCTATAATTTAATACTTGTGAGTTAATTTTGTGTTATTTTGGTTTAAAATTTTGTTAGATGTACTTCTGGACATTTGTTGGTATTTTTGAAAAGCTTTTAGATAATGAAATCAAATGCAAAAATAAGCTATGACGTAAATTGGGAGAATATTGCAAAACTTACGCAAATTGGGAGAATATTGTAAAACTTTCAAAGTCATCACAAAAAGTCGTAACTTTTGCCACTGTTAATAGAATTGTGTTTTGCTTAATTGAAAATGAGTAGGTAAGAAACATATATGCTACTTGTTCAACTTAGAATGCATTCTTTACACTTTGAGACATATTTGAAGCTAAGTTAAAAAAATTACAAACAAAAATTGGTCCAAATTGAAGAAACATATAACAACAAAACGGAACCAGAAAAACGACAACAGCAGAAACATCAACCACGAAAACATCCAGCTAGTTGCCCCCAGGAGAATTAATTGCTTGGGAAAAAGACCCTTCTTTGATTGATGTATCTGCATGTGGAGTACCAAGGCCTTTGAATATCATGCCAATTAATTTCATGAATTACACTATCATGTCATGTATATAAAGAATATGATTTTACTTTTAGCATTTTAACCGATTAATGAAACAAGGATGAATGTTTTTGACTTAGATTTCCCCCCAGATTTATTCATTTTCTTGCTTTCTACACCTGTTAAAGTTGCTTTTTACACTAGTTATATAATCGGTTCGAGAACATTTTTACTGAATCCAATGCTGACCTACTCATGAGAAAATTTTGTTAGAGTTGAATGGCACAATAATTACATAGATGACCAAGTATGTTGGTGGAAGGACTGAACATAGAACGCCCATTGCTAGTAATTATACTGAGTCAGGAACTCCCAAACATGAAGCCCACAATTTTCACAATGCAAAGACAGAGCCCAGCTTCAAAGAAAACCAAGGGTCCGAGTAATTATTGACGAATAAAAGAGCCCATTAAATGCAACTGCTCCTGGACGTTCAAAAATTCGGAAGATGCAATCTCCATGGGTACTTCCTTCAAAGTCGGACCAAGTGATTGCATGCTTTTAGAAATTTGAATCATCTTTAGATTAATCCCTTCATACCCAAAACATTATGTTTTATTTTTTTTTTTTTTACTGTCTTAAATTTTATATTTTCCCTTCCTTCTCTTTTCCTCCTTTGTAAACTCAGAACTCTTCATCCATCCGGCTTCTCTTGGAGTTAGCTTCGGATCCTCATTGATGAGCACCGCGTTGCTCATCAGGGCAAATGTTCATCTTGGCCTTTGATTTAGATTTTGAAATGATCCCTTCTGTTCATCTTATAAATTGATTTTTTTAGATATTTTTAAAATTATATATATTAAAATAAAAATTTATAAAATTAAATCTGGACTGTCTTTTGTGCTTGCTATGGTTTATCCCTGATAAGATTAGGACAGTTGATATTTAAAATAATTCATTTTTATTTTATATTTATCAAAATAAACATTTATAAAAACTATAATAAATTTAATAAATATGTTCACCACCAACTTGGTCAGTATAGATTTAATCTGTACAATTCAATTTAATATTAATTTTTTACATATTTTATAAATTGATTATCTAGATATATCATGAATATTACAAATATAATCTGGACAGTTCAATTTAATAGTAATTTTTTTATAATTTTATAAATTGATTATCCATATATACTTTGAATAGGTTAAATTTAATATGGCTTTAATCTATCAGTATAAATTGATGTTTTTATAGGTTAAATTTTTTTATAAATTGATTTTCCCTTCGACGCGATGAGCACCGGATCCGTTGGCTTCCATACTCCTATCTTCCCTACTTTTTGGATCTTAACTTCAATACTTCAATGATTGATATTTAATATATTATAAGATTATTATAATATTATGAACAATTTAGAACTGTAGTAAAAATTATTAAAAATATTTTTATTACAACTTTGAGCGGTTCAAATCAAGTTTTAACTTTTTAATATTATAATAATTATTTAATAATAATTAAATCTCAATTATTAAAATTATGATCAAGTGTGGAAAAGATAAAGCGAGAATGATAGTTAAATTTTTAAAAAATAAGTTAAAAATATCGATCTAAATAATTGCAAATTTAAGAGTTTTAATTATAAATAAATATTTAAATATTAAATAAGTATTTACGGCAGAATTCGAAAGCTCCTCCTTCAGCAGCGTGTCCGACGTCATTCATCTCTGAAGCCGAGACCTCTCATCTCTCACGGCTTCTTCTTGCTTCAGACTCATTCTCGTCCGTGACTCATATTTGGTGTTTGTAGCCGCATCTAACACGTTGTCCTCCTTTTTGAAGTCTTCCGATCCTGGCTGAGGAATTTCCGCTTCTTGATATGAAGCTTCTCTCGTTTACTAAAAGCTTATTTATCTCTTGGTCAATATTTTTTAAATTTCTTTCTAAAGGTCGGTGAGACCAAGAGATTATAAAATATGTATTTTGACCAGCGGTGCCTACTGGTAATACTTACAAAAAGAAAATTTTTAAAAGACACACGGAATCTTATGTCATTTATGTTATATTTAAAAGAATAGTATGAATTAAATACATTAATGTCTTTTTATTAATTATATTAAAATAAATAGAAAAGAGAAGATAAATGACTCTAAGAGTACATAATTATTTTTTTATTCTTGATGCTTATCTATGGGCTGCTGAATTCAACGATGGTGTCTTTTTTCTTACTGGGGAGGATCACTGTTTTGAGATTTCCAAGTCTTCCACCAAACAGCCTTGTGCCGTATCATTCCTTTTAACATATTGCCGTCGAATCCTTCAACAATTTGAAAACTGAGGAAATGAGAAGCAATTCCATCTACGGCTTGATACCATTAAGTTTAACGCCGCACTATCTAATGTCACTTATAATTGTTTCTTTTTTTTTTGTTTTCATGTGCATATATGTATATGTTCAAGACAAAGTTAGGTATTAAATTAATAGCGGATATGAACACTTTTTAAAATGATGATTTGAATATTGGTTTGTCATGTTGAGAGGGTATAATTCCTTTCACTAGATCAAGTAACATATAAAGCTTTAACCTAAGTGTTAATTTGAGGATGAAGTATTATAAGAGGCATTTTAGATGAGACGTACATTAGAGAACCTGAATCCAATCAGATCCCACGTAGTATTTACCGGTTTCTTCCGGCCTCCTTATTTTTTGATGAAATTCTCGTTCCTCCTTCGACGTCGTTTTTCAAACACCAATCAATTACTATCGTTTGGTCAATGGCTATACTCCAAATTACTCCGTCAACATGCACGACTTGACCTCTCTTTCCTTCTTAATAAAACTTCACCCCCTTGACATGCAAATAAACTGAAACAAAGATATAATCCCATCAAATAGATCTCATCAAAAGATGCTTCCACCTAATTCATCCCTTCCTTTAATCACCTTCATATTCTGGTCATGGTGGACGCTTAACGGCGTCGTTTCCGACCGCCAGATCAATCTTCTAAGCCAAGGCTGCACCCCTTCCAACTACTTTTTCGTCTTGTCCAACTTCTCCATCTTCAGCGACAACGTCAACAAAACGTTTCGCGAGATCAGAGAGCAGCTCGTCAATAATCAAAACAAGCACTTCGTGACGGCGATGCGAGTCAACGCAGAAAACCCAGTTTTCAGTCTTTTTCAATGCAGAAACTACCTCTCCATTCATGACTGTGTTGCCTGCTTCGACGCCGCCGCCAAACAGATCCGCGACTGCCGTGCCGGAGCACATGGTGGCCGTGTCATCTACGACGGCTGCTTCCTCAGGTACAACTAGTCCACCTGTTCATTTTCCTCCTTTTCTTTTTTCATTTTTTCCAGCTGCCAGGAAAGTTGAGGTCTGCCCTCTTCTTGCCTAAATATTTTATTGCTTTATTATATAGTAGTTTTTGTGGTTTACGTGTCTTTGATTAAACTGTAGCAAAAGTGAGCAAACAAAAACAAAAAACAAAGCCACCTAATCTTGCTTACTGGTGAGTGGGTTCCTGGGGTAAAAGGTAGGAACAACGGAGAAATTAAATAAAATTTGGTTTATTTTTATAGATGTATGATATTACAATTAATATATAAAATAATATAAAAACAAAATTGATAATCATAGATTTGCAAATTTTTATTTTTATTGAAGCTGTACTTCTATTTTTTGTGCTAACCGGTCAATAGGTACACATAGAGAACCGCAGTGGGTGTTCATCACCTTATGGAGTGATCTAGGTTCTTCATTTCCTCTCAAATAATCTCCGTTGTTGCTTTAAAATTATTTTTTCAATATTTTTATATTATATTTATTGAAATAATGATTATAAAAGATTAAAATATTAAATCTGGATGAGACAGACTATATCTAAATGGTCAATTATTTAAAATTATAAAAATTTTAATATTAAATTGGACTTTTTAGATTACATTTGTACTATCTAGAGTACATGTGGATAGTCAATTTATAAAAATATTAAAAAATTAATATTAAATTGGATCATTTAAATTGAATCTTTACTAGCCAAATTGGCGATAAACAAATTTATTAAATATTTCTATATTTTTTACATATTTTTATTCTAATAAATTTAAAATAAAAATAAAAAATCTAAATTTGGATTGTCAAAATCTTCTTAGGGATGGTAACTACCATGATATTTATCCTCTAACAAGTATTAAAAAAAAACAGTCCATATTTAATATTATTTTTTATAATTTTTATATATTTTTATTTTGATAAATATAATATAAAAATATTTTAAAGAATAATTTTAAATCAACAGCAAAGATCATTTGAGAGAAATGAAGGGCCTAGGTCATCCCATAGGGTGATGAGCTCAGGATTGATGACCACCGAATATAGTTCCTTACATATAGGGGTTTGGCAGCTTATATATTGATAAGTACAGAGAAAAACTTATATATTGAACTTGGAATTGAAAATGACAAGTGGTATGCTTTGTGTATTGAGGTACGAGACCAATGCTTTCTTTGACGAGACAACAGAGAATTTCAATGCCGTGTCGTGTGGTAATCAATCTACAAGAGAATCCACAGAATTTACCTCACTTGTGCAGCAAGTTCTAATGAATCTGCAAACGACAACACCAAAAAAACAAGGGTTTTTTGCAGCCACAAAAGCACAATTGCCTGAGAATGGTTCAACTATTTATGCTTTTGCTCAATGTACTGAAACTATCACACAGGATGGGTGCCTCAATTGCTTGAACACTGGGTACAACAATATGCTTGCTTGTTTTCCCAATTCTGATGGTAAGGCTTATGCTGCTGGGTGCTTCATGAGATACTCCAACACTTCATTCTTCCCTGATAATTACCAGACCATTGATGTCACTCCCTTAATAGACAAGCAAGGTACGGTTAATTCAAAGATTTAAATATAATACAAATATTCCAGTATCACTGTTAGATTGTCTAAGTATGAGTGGACTTAAGTTAATATGAAAGATCCCACATCAAATAAAGTTAGACTTAATAATTAATATACACTCCCTCCATTCAAAAATGTAAAGTATTTTTTGTGGAGTTGAATGTTAAAAAATGTAAAGCATTTTTAGTCTTTCGAGGTGTAATCATTACCTTTTTTTTCCAAAAGTACCCTTATTGATGAATGACTTTATATTTATTGCAGCATGTTTAATAAGTATAAATATGAAAAGATAAGGTTAATTGAAAAGTAGAGAACTACTTTATTGAGGGTGAGATTTAGTTAAAAATACCTTATATTTTTGAATGGAGGGAGTAATAAAGAAAAAAATACATAATTAAATTTGATTATTTGAGATTTTGAATTAAGATGTGATGTTATTCAGTTGCTATTTGCCCATTTGTTCATGAGTTGGCTTGAATTCAAGTTTTAAGTTAAAATATGGTGTCCATCTACTATTATTGCTTTCTATTTCTAGCCATCACAATTTGACTTTTTCTTATCTTGTGTAATTTGAAAATTCGTGTTATATATTCCTTAATTTGTGAGTGCATAACTAGACATGCATGGAAATATGTTTTATTGAATGGGATGGAACAGTTTAGGTGTTTTCTATTTATTTGTTTACTAGATTTTGTTAAAACAAATCTATATATATATATATATGAGTTTTTAACTATTCAACAACGTAGCGGATGAATTTTTTTTTGGATTAAACAGCACATATTAACTTAATAGAAGTGAAAATAAGGGTCTGTGTAATCAATGTAGAAGTGAAAATCTATAGGGAATTAACCATGCTATTGATAAGTTGTGAATATTACAATTCTTATATGGGTCTGTGTAATTGTTTTATTTTTCAACATCTTTCAACCCATTCTATTAGGGTTCCACACAACATTTTTTACTCATCCGATCTTTTTCTACACATTATGATCGATAATGGGCGCATCATGAGATAATCCATCACTTCATTTTTTCTTATAATCAGACCATCAATATCACTCCCTTGAAACAAAAAGGTACATTTTTTTCAAAGGTTTAAATTTAATACAGACACTAAATATGAAGTTGCATATGTATAACCTGATACTAATTTTAAAGTTATATTTAATCAACAAGTGCTATGACTGATTTGAAAATGATCAGTTCCCTATTTTCCTTCCTTCAAGGTTCAAGCAAGAAAGTGGACATTATTGGTGGAGTAGTTGGAAGTGTAGCTTGTTTTTTAATCCTCTTTGTATTATTTGCCTGGAGGATTAGACGACCAAACACTCCTAAGAAAGTTCCCAGAGGTAAATTACTTGGAAAGTTTTCAACTATTATACACATTTAATTATATAATTAAGGAGATACATTGGTTTTTCACTTTTTGCATGGAAAAAATTTAGTCTTTCATCTCCACTTAGCGATCAATTCCTTTTTGTTTTTAAATTACAAATACTCCTTCTAGTTTACAATATAAATTAGGACACTTCCAACATGTATCACACATATTAAAGAAATTTATTTTTAATCTCATGAAAAACATAATTATTTTTTCAATTTTGCACTTATTTACAACTAACATCTATAATTTCTTATACATAGTTACTCCATGCATATATTAATCAATGCAAGGATAAGAATGAAAAGATATTTCTTAAAATTCATAGTACAAAAGGCATTTTTTGCTATAGTTAAAATACATTTTTTCTAACAGAAGATGCTGTGTAGTGTAAGATTGTGTGGTAGTAAATAGATATTTTTCACCATAAGTCAAAAGAAATTGTGACAAAAAATAATATTTTTTGCCACAGGTCCCAGCTTACTTGTGGCAAAAAACACGGTGACAAAAAATATCATCTTTTGCCACAAATCTCAACTCACCTATAGCAAAAAATAGCAACAAAATACTATCTATTGACATAGGTCTTAGCTCACTTATGGCAAAAAATAGCATCTTTTGCCATAGGTACGAGCTCACCTATGGCAAAAAATGACTTTAAAGTGCATTTATGATGACAGTTTTAGCCACAATTGTCACCATAGATGAATCTTTTACCACAGTTATTGTAATAATTGTTGCTATAAATACTATATATATTTTTAATAGAATCATTTATAACTTTATACATCCCTTACTTACAAACCTACATTAATACATAAACAACAAATCTAGAGACCAATACGAATATATCTAGTGCAAACATATGAATTAAAAATTTACATTTTCAATACAAAAATATCTAGAAAGTTTCAACTTTAATCTTGTTAATTTCAAGAAAAAAACTAGACCGTAAATTGTGTATATGTCTCAACTCTTATTTAGAGTATGGCTCTAAACTTTAGAAATGCTACAAATTCAATAACAATATACAAATGAATAATAACTTATGTATATGGAAAACTTTATAATTATAAATCATTATTAACAAATTATTACTTAATCAAATGAGTAAATAATACTTTGAGTGATGATTTCATACACAAAAATTATCACATAATAACCACACTCTACACTTCCTAATCATTGAGGACACTATAAAAAAAATAAAAAAAAATTAAATTCATTAAACCAATATTATAATGTTCATATATTCTAATTAAGGAATAAATTTAAAATACTTACTTGCAATGGCATCTACTTGATTTTATTTTTTTTCTTGTCAATCATTCTCGTTGATTTCCAATATGTTGCTAAAGATCTATTTATCAAAATATACACACTTAGAAAATATTAAATATATATTATTAATAAAACAAAATAAAATTATTTAAAAACTTACAATTCAATCAAAAACTTCATATCCTCCCTTACTTTCCTTTGTAGTGAATAAACCCAGTATATAGTATTTTCATACGGGCAAATGACAGAAAGTATCCAATAATGATTACAATATATTAATTTATATTAATATCACATCATTAAGCAAACTTTTTTTATAAATTGAGGGATGAATTTAAAATTTAATACCTTTCAATAATTGATAAAAACCAGCACCTCTTCTTTTACTTACACGTCATTTTTTCAATATAAGAAGCTCTTTGATTCACTTTGCCACATGAGGTTAAAAGTGGAGACAAGAACCCATAATTATTATCAATATCGAGTTCGGTGCATATCTTGTGGAGGTACCTTTGATAACAAGAAATACGTTAGCAATAAAATAAAAATATTAAATATTAATTTATAAATAAAAATGAATACATACATGATAAAAACTTGAATTATTGCCAAATCCAACCACTCAAAAATAATGAGGTCATTAATATCTTTCCTGACAACTTTAAAAGTAATAGGCTTTCCAACAATCTTTTCGATTACACTTATTTCATAGGAAAATTCATTCATGTCAAGCACCACCGAAGCCAACCATTTCAAATCATCTTACACCGGTTGGGGATGGAGCCCAGAGATTCTTTTAATTGTAGGAGTTTCTATAATTAATATATAATGAAAAATAGAAATACCTATGTTATTAATTAAAAAAATTGTAACATTTTCATATCTCTTTAGTAACCTGTCGAACTAGCTTTTTCAACCAAATAATGAAATTAGGTTGAGCTTGTCCTATTGTTTGTACGTCCTCAGTAGGAAATGGTACATGAGAATTAGCATCCACAACCTCTTCAATTATCACCTTTACTTAGTTATGTTGTATCTATTAATGGAGGATTGTAGTTATATGGTTATACACCTTTTTATATGCAACTACTCATTTTCCATGATCTTTCACATAAAGTATACATGGCACTCCTTGATATGATAGGCTAAGATCACACACTGGATCTATAACACCACCATAATTTAGTGCTTATTGTGGTTGCATTTGCATATTACTAATCATTGATTGCATTTCCATTATCATTCTTAACTTGCATTCCACTATCATCATTTGCACTTATTAGATTGGTACAAGATTAAAAGGTAGAGGTCCAAAATATTATTTTATACCCATGCCTTTTGGAACCCCCTAACACGGCCAAGGTGCTCTTCACTCCCTAAGGTCATGGTCAATATATCCTTCCTATTAGTAAATACAAAGGTTCCCTCAAAGGATACTTCTGTAAGAGTATCCTGGAACATGTAAGCAAGTAGAAACTAATGTAATTAATAAATTTCAATCATATGATTAAGATATTGACTATAAAAATAATTATAATTTTCTCAACTATTTCTCTAGCCTCCAGGGAAATAAACTTTCCCTTTTTATTCATCCATCCTCTATTCTATGCTTGAGTACAATTAATAAGAGATGGACGAGAAATATCTTTAATATGATCAACCCCTACCGTTTGTCTTTTAGAGCGTCCCACTTCTTTTAATTTATTATATCATAAATATATGCATACCCTTCTTGAAACACAAAATAGTGTTATAGATTTTTCTTTCAACGCTCTTGACCTTTTTAACTTTTTTTTCTATTAAAAAATAATGAAAAGCATTTGTTAAAAATAAATCTTCACTAATACTAAACAAATTATCATATTTTTCTTACCTTACCAAAAATTTAGGGTCGTGTCTACTGTGAACAAATTTCATTCATATGCCATAATCAATGAATAGATATTTCTCCTAAGGTTTTTCCATGCTACCATCATTGTCACTATCATCATTTTCGTTGTCATTCTTAGGAAACAAATATTTTCTAGTAAGCTTGGTCTTAAAGTCCCTCCATCAATCCCCCAACATACTTTAGCCACTTATCCTTTAAAAATGGAGTTTCCTCAATGTCATAAATAATTTGCAAAATAATACATGCCAACAATGAATTTAGTAACAACATATATTTCAAAATAAAAGTAGATGTGACATATATCAATTAGAAATACCAGTATAGATTCCCAAATATCATTCTGTCACTTTCATTTACATCATCCCACTCTTCCTTTAAAATGCTAATTTTTTAACATGCCACCAAACCCACAAAACTCTTAAAAATGTTTCCTTTCTTCTTATCAATTGGTTGGCCATTATCATCAAAATCAAGATGAATTCTTTCATGTATTTAAGCCAACTTAGTAAGTCGTGTGGCCCCACTTTTACCTCTTTTAAAATTTGTTTTGTTAGTGATGGGATGCTTCATTTTTTTTCTAAAACAAATAAGATAAATAAGGTTAGTAACAAGAAATATAATAAATTTAAACTAATGAAAAAATGAAAGTATAAAAAACAAAACCAAATGAATCAAAAAGATCTTATAATATTCTGTTACCATTATAAAAATATTTTAATTCTCCCATAAACTTTCATCATGATCAATTCGAATGTCATATACATCATCGTCATCTTCCACATCCAATAGGGGTGGGGTTAGCATAAAAGGAGGGATTTCTTCAATACCAAAAATTATTTCATCATTTTCACCATGAGTAAGGAAACTTTTTTCTAATAGAACCATGAATAACCTCTTATCAGCTAGATCAATGACAAAAAAAAAAACTTGTTTTGCATGAGTTACCATTATAAAAGGCTCATCCTTATATTTTGTCTTATTAAGGTCCACTAAAGTAAAACCCAACTTGTCTTCATGAACACTATGCTTAATATCAACCCACCTATACTTGAAAATGGGCTCCTTAAATTTAAAGTAGTCAACTTTTCATATCTCTTCAATGACCCCAAAATATGACGAGGATGTCAATGTTAGATTTTTATCTTTTGCAGTAGAAAAATGAGTTACCTTAGCTACTACTATTACCCCACTATTTTTCATAGTGCTATTATCATCCTGTATTTTGTATAAAATAAATATCCATTAATGTCATATGCACTCCAAGTTATAACATCAAAGTTAGGCCTACTAGCTAACCATCTTATTATATCTGAAACATTAGATTTCCTATGATCCTCCTTTACCCTTGCCCTAAACCAGAGTGAAAAATATTTGTTGTGCTCACTTAGCAACTATTTATCAGCCTTTTTAGGATATTGATCCTTTAATTTCTTTTTGTGTGCATCCAAACAATCTTGAATATCATTGGTGTTATTCAAGATGTACAGATGTGCTTGCTGCATTTCTTTATGAGTCATGTGCTTTATTTTCATGCCTCATGGTGAGATTTGGGAACATCAATAGATTCTAGTTCGGATGGATATTTAGTACAAAACTCGACAACCTCCTTAACTACATATCTTTCAACAATCGAGGTTTCAGGACAATGGAGATTTTTCACATAGCTTTAAAAATTTTCATGTAATACTCAAATGGATACATCCAACATAGATAGACAAGGCTGCACAACTTTATCTCTCTCAATAAATGTATAATTAAATATACCATGATGTCAAGAAATGAGGGAATAAAATACA